TTAGCAGCACAGACCAAACCCCAGTAGGCTGAAGCTCTAAGAACACTGGGTGGGAAATGCCCAGAGAAATGAAGAGCAAACTGAGTCAGAGCTAGAATCTCCACCCTTCCCCCCTGCCAGCTGCACACTCTATCTTGGGTGAATTCTTCGTCCTTTCTGAGCTCCAAATTCTTCTTCCATATGTGGGTAATAATATCTTTCTCCTAGGATTCCTTTGGAAAATGAAATGAGATCTTGTTTGTGTAGCAGGATGTCAAAACTATTTTGGTCCCAGTTTGGGCTGAAGGACAATAGGTGACACATTCCAAAGTGAGCTATGATACTACCATGCAGGACTTTGGAAAGAAGTGGCCTGAAACTGATGTCACTCCCCTAACTGCCCACCTCCTGCCTACAAAGGAGGTTGGCCTAAGGAAAACAGCTGGGGCAGCAGAAGGGGAATTGTGGAGCAAACAGCAGGTGTACATCAAGTCCTAATTGCCTTCTCCCATCGCCCAATCGTGGCCTCAAGGGAGTACAGTGTCCCTGGAGCTCGCATGTCACTGAGGGTTGGTGCATGAATCATGTCTGAGAAATTCAATGTGTAAGAGCCACAGGGTGGCCTGCTGGAGTGAGCAGGGATAAAGGGAACTTGAGTATTCTCCATAAGGCAGAGATGTGCCCTGGACAACCTGCATATTTTGTAGGCCTATTTTAACAGGTCCACCAGGGGGAGTAGAGACTGCAGCAGAAAGCAGCTGGCAGTACTGACTTGCATCCTTCCAAAATGCCTGTGTTGAAGCCCTTGTCTCCTAGGGCTTCAGGATGGGCTGGTTTGGAAGTAGGGCCTTTTTAGAGAGAGTCTATTAGAGTGGGCCCTGATCCAATAAGACTGGTGTCTTCCTAAGGGCAAACATGGATACAGAGATACCCAGGGATACGCACAGATACAGAGGGAAGAGCGTGAGAGGGCACAGCAAGAAGGTGACCATCTGCAAGCTGGGGAGAGATGTCTCAAGAAAAACCAAACCTGCTCACACCTTGATTTTGGATTCACCATCTCCAGAACTGCGAGAAAATTCATTTCTGTTGTTCAAGTCACCCAATCTGGTGGTATTATGTTGTATTAGGGTGGCTGAAATGCCTGGAACCTAAGGAAGGAGTTGTAGGCAACTGGCCAAAGAGATCCCCAAAGGTGAGGCTAGAGGATGGTCTCTGAGCTACACAATTATGCCAAGAGACAAAGAATCAGACTCAAAATCCACGGGCCCAGCACGAGGAAGCCAACACAACACAGCATTAATCATGTAGAGACTTTTGGCTCCTTTCTTGCTTCTTCCCTTATCCCCTGCCAGGGGTCAGAATCCTCAAGGAACCAGTGGGGGAAGACAGAAGCTTAAGGTGGGAACCAGAAGCTAACCACAGACTTCCTTCCCAGCGGAAGGTCCCACCCCTGGAAGAATCAGGGAAGCATGGGCTGGAAACAAAGTATAAAGGTCTGGCTACTCCACAAGACATGAGCATCCATTGCTGAACTGAGACAGAGCTGGAGCTGGAAGTGGCTGATGCAGTCTTCCTTCCTGAAGGGCAGCCAGCAGGGTCACAGACCTGCCTTAGATTTCATCCCAGGGCAAGGAAGAGTGAGGCCCCACAGAAAATACCTGGGGATAACCATGATAGGCAACAATAAACTTGGCTTTCTGAATGTACTCCGTGAGTCCTGTTTATTTAATCTGTGTCCTCCTACACTCAAGGCCACTTAGCCCAGTCTCCTGCCGAGTGATAGCATGCAATAAGCAATTATTATCATTGCCAGTTCCTTCACTGACACCATTGAGCAACTCCATCTTCTTCCAGCAAGACAAAAGCTTATGACAACAGACACAGATCCACGTTCCTGAGCTCCCAACTTGAGTTCAAGATGTTCTGTGAAACCAGAGACTAAATGCCACCCTCTATGCCTCATGACCCAGAGAGAGAAACTAACTTTAAACCACGAGGACTGGGGAAACCAGAGAGTGATATAAGACTCCAGAGAATACAGAGTTCAAACCCAGGCTCAGCCATTTCACAGCTGTGTGACCCTAGGTGAATGACCTAACTTTTCTGTACTTCAGTTGCCTCTTTTATAAAATAGAGATAATAAGACATCCATCTGGTAGGGGAATTATATGGAATACATGAGAAAATGGATACAAAGCCCTTAGAACATTGCCTGGCATGGGACAAAGGATTCGATACACACAGTTCACTGCACTTCCTTGCCTCTTAAAAGGGAACCTTGAAACGAAGGTGGTGCCTTAAAGATGCCATAAAGATGCAAGGCAATAGCATGCAGATTGTCCAACCAGTCTGCCCAGGTTTCCACCAGTCAAAGCTGTGAGGTCCGTGGTAGAAGTGCTTGCTATTACTGTTATTTATCCAGAGAGATAAAAAACAGTAATATGCTTACATACACAATACACACAGTAAGAGTTTCATAGTAGCAGCTATTATTAAAAGAATGGTTACTTCAAGAAACATGCATAGGCCCTAAAAATTCTGGTCATCCAAAGACATCAGACACATTGAATGAGGACCAGAGAGGCAGGGAATATTTCTCTTGCTGGGAGGCTGCTGAACTTGAATTCAATCACTTTTTCTTGTTTATTTACCAACAGAAGGCAGCTCTGAAACAAGCAGGGCAGCTTGAACCCAACAACTCATCCTCCATGGGCCAGACCCTTAGCCATTGCCACAGTAATCATCCCCACCCCCACCTTCACCCTAAGCTGCCACTCTCTCTCTTGAGTTACCTGGTCTGGTTCCTTCCTCCACGGCAGGTCCTACCTTGCAGGGGACAGGTGAGGAGCCAAGGTCTTCCAGCCTCCTGAGAAGCTAACATTTCAACAGGCCCAGCTGTCTGCACCTGGCTTGCTGCTCACTGGCCAATGGCCTGAAGACTGATGGAGAAGCAGGAGGAAACTATGAAAAGCTGATATCCTCCACAGGAAATCATTGTTTAGCCAATTGCAGGGCTGAAAAACAAGTGTAACATTGGAGAAAGGAGGGTAAAGTGCCATTCAAGGCCATTGTCACAGCCGCTGCTCTATGTATTAGGGAAACAAAAGGGGCCTGTGTGTGTGAGGACAATGCTGTTGTGTTACCAGCCGCTTCGGTGTTGCTCCTGGGGACAGCGGACAAGAAACGAGGCCACCGTGCTTTCCTTACTCCAGTCTCCTCTGGACGTCACTAAACATAGTAATCAAAGCAACGAGAGCCAAGAGTGGAACCATGGGCCTAGGCCATGGTCTATAATGAGGGGGGCAAGGGACACCTCTTCAGTAGTGACCAACTGCTTCTTTGCTAGAATACACATGACAAATCTTAAATGCCCCCTTGTCTTCTCTTACCAACTTTCAGGGACTCACTATAAGTTGGAGTTGATAAGAATCATAGCTATCGTTTCTTCCAACACAAATGAAGGGTGTTCAAAAAGTTCATGGAAAGTGTATAATATGAAGAAACTATGTAGGGATTGCAAAAATTTTCTGCAATAAAATAAACTTCAGCTTTAATTCCAATTTTCCACAAACTTCTTGAGGCACACTCATATGTCATCTGTCCTGAATCCTGTTTTTGTAATGGGACACCTGGCTGGGGTCAATCCCCTGCCATGTAGCATGTTAGTAGCATGTGGTTAGGTGAGGTGATTCATTGTGTGCCTCTCACGCATTGAACCCCCATCATAGACCAGACACTACGCTATGTGCAGGCTTTCAGAATTACCTTATTTGCTCCTATCTGCAAGTCCTGACTTTGCCACTATGACTCATGGACTGTGAGGATTTTTTGTGAGTCTTGGTTTTTCCTATCTTTGAACTGGGAGTACTACTGGGTTACTGTGAGAATTAAATGAATTAAGACGGACAAAACTCTTAGAAGAGTGTTTATCCCATAAAAAGTGATCAGGAACCATGAATGGCAGAACCATGAGTGGTGGATGCCCACATTGTGCATACAACTTGCTCCGATTCATGAGGTGATGGCATGGAAATTCAGAATTTTAGGTACCCATATTTAGTCCTGCCACCTACTATGCCTGAGTTTATTCCATGAAGGAAACCAAGCACTAACAGATACTCTCCAAGATGTGCCAGATGACAAATGTGTGGCAAGGACCCATTATGATATATCAGTGAGTCATGAGGCCTATGGGGTCTACAGAGCACAGGCCAGTCTTCAGGGGACAGCCAGGGCTCAGTGACAGCCAACATGGAAAGGTGGGCACAGCATGGCCAAGCTTACCGATTTTCAAAGACAGGCCAGTAGTCTAAACTTTGGTGTTTGTTTCCCAATTTTGAAACACTAGACCAAACTCAACATTGTTAGTGCACAGTATGCCCACCTCATGCAGCTGTGATACCTGCTCTGGCACAGATGGCACTTTGAAGCCAGGGCATCCTTGCTAATACTCAAGAATTTTTATCTCCAATTTGCCTGCCTCTCTGAGTGCTAAGCTTCTGAATGTTTGTTTTCCTCTCCCCTAAATGCATAAGTTGAAACCTTAACCCTCAAAGTGATGGTATTGGGAGGCGAGGGTTGCGGGGAGGGGATTTTGGAGGGTGATTAGTTCATGAGGATGGAGCCCCGAGTGTGTTAGTGCCCTTATTAAAGAGACCCAAGAGAACTCCCTTGCTCCTTTCTGACATGTGAGAATATGGCTAGAGGTTGCCAGACAACTAAGAAACTGCCCTTACCAACCAAGGGATCGGTTAGTGCTTCCATGTTGGACTTTCTAACCTCTGAACTATGACCAATACATTTCTTTTTTTTTTTGTAGGTATTCTATTTTTTAACTTTTATTTAATGAATATAAATTTCCAAAGTACGACTTATGGATTACAATGGCTTCCCCCCCATATCGTCCCTCCCACCCGCAACCCTCCCCTTTCCCACTCCCTCTCCCCTTCCATTCACATCAAGATTCATTTTCGATTCTCTAATATACAGAAGATCAGCTTAGTATCCATTAATAAAGATTTCAACAGTTTGCTCCCACACAGAAACATAAAGTGAAAAATAATAGATGATTTTTTAAATGATGATGAAATCAGATCAGACCTATTGTCATGTTTAATCCCAGTGAGAGTCAAGTTGGGAATTGATAATTTCTTTTTTTTTTTTTTTTTTTACAGATCAGTTTAGTATACATTAAGTAAAGATTTCAACAGTTTGCACCCCCATAGAAACACAAAGTGAAATATACTGTTTGAGTACTCGTTATAGCATTAAATCTCAATGTACAGCACATTAAGGACAGAGATCCTACATGAGGAGTAAGTGCACAGTGACTCCTATTGTTGACTTTACAAATTGACACTCCTGTCTATGGCATCAGTAATCTCCCTATGCTCCAGTCATGAGTTTCCAAGGCTATGGAAGCCCTCTGAGTTCTCTGACTCTTATCTTGTTTAGACAAGTGACCAATACATTTCTGTTATTGACAAATCACCCAGTTCATGGTATTTTGTCACAGTAGCCCATTTGGACTGAAACCCAGTGAGTTCATCGGGCCACTTCCAATCGATTCCTTGACCTAAAGTAGGTTTTAGAAGAACTGAGCAGCAACTTCTCCCTGCAACTCACCTTCATATCAGTCCATATGATGGGGGTAAGGAAAGGGGAAATCAGAGACATGAAGGGGGAAGTGGGGAACTCTCCGTAAAGGATCTTAGCTCCTTGGCCTAATCCACCCCCTGCAGGCACTCCTCTGATAAAGAAGGCAGCCAGAACTTAATGGAGGGACCAAGGGTTAAGCTCCCAGAACCTCCATCAGTCACCACAAATGAACCTAAGTAGTCTAAGTGACTAAATGTGCTTGCTATGCAAATGCAACTTCCAGACAAGACTGCTCACAATGAGATACCACTTCAAACCCACTAGGATGGCTATAATCAAAAAGATAATAGTCAGTGTTGGGTGATGATGTGGAGAAATTGGAACCCTCCTACACTGCTGTTGAGAATGTAAAATGGCATGGTCACTCTGGGAAGCAACCCGGCAAATCCTCATAAAGTTCCGTGTAGAGTTACCATCTGATCCAAAATTCCCATTCCTGGGCATGTAGCCCAAGAGAAATGAAACACACAGCCACATAAAAACCTGCACATGATGGTTTATAGCAACATTGTTCACAATAGCCAAAGGTGGAAGCAACCCAAGTCTCTACCACCTGATGAATGGAAAAACTAAATGTGGTCTATCCATACAACGACTAATGATTCAGCAAAAAAGCAATGAAAACTTGAATGTGCTACAACTTGGATGAGCCTTGAAGAAATCATTGGGCTAAGTGGGAGACATAGTAGAGAAAACCACATATCACACAATTTCACTTATATGAAATGTCCAGAGTAGGCAAATCTATAAAGTAGGTTAGTGGTTTCCCAGGCTGGGAGTGAGGGGAAAATTGTGTGTGAGATGGCGCTTAGGGATGATAGCTGTAGGGTCTGCAATTTCTCTCTGGGATGATGAAGGTACTCTGAAATTGACATTGGTAATAATTAGACAACTGTGAATATCCTAAAATCTGTTGAATTGTAAACTTTAAATGGGTTACTTGTATGTGAATAAAAATTATATCTCAATAATGGTATTACTACAAAAAATACCACAACTAAGATTACTACTGCTAAACATTTTCTAATAAAAATATTCTGTGCCCATATCTCACTGTTCACATCTGCTCCCCTGGCGACAACAGGACAAGTGCCCCAGAAGGATGGTTTCCTTCACAGGCTCAGTGCTCAAACTACAGTGACCAACTGGCCTGGTTTGCCCAGAACTGTCCCAGCGCTGGCCTGCAAGCCTGCATCCAGGAAGTTCTTCATCCCTGGACAAACTGAGTGGCTGCTCATAACAGGAAAGCCCTGACCTTTGGGACTGCCAATGGCTACAACTGAGAACCTGTACAAACAATGCCTCCTTCTTTTGGATACAAGACATCTATGAACTCCTTCTAGTGGCCAAAATGTACTTTATGGTTGTTCCTATCTTACAGATGAGGAGACTGAGGTTCAGCATAGGTGAAGGAGCTTGTCAGGAGCACATAGGAGCCAGACATTGAACTGGGTCTTCCCACAAAGCCTGAGATCCCTCTTCTACTCACCACATTTTCTCTCACCACACCACTGACTGGGTTGTCCAGGAACACTCTCAGCTTTGTCTTGCCATCTGAGGAAGGGGTAGTCAGACATCCAAACAGGAAAAATGTGTTCTTTTCCTAAAAACACCAGGAGACATGTACAGTTTGGTGGTTAACGGCACAGCCTCAGGAGCCAAGACTACACAAGTCTGAGTCTACACTTAGTACTACTTATCTGTGTGATGACGGAAAAGTCACTTAACCTGTGTTCCAGCTGCCCCATATTTAAAATGGGAAACATAGTTCTTTCCTGTGTGTTTTTAGAAATATATGTGTATATTATGATTTATAACATAGGGAAGTTATGGGAAGTAAATAAATCAATAGAGGCTTAGAATGGAGCCTGGCAGTCAGCAAATTCATTAAATAATCAAGGTAAGCACTGATTTCTATACTCAGAATTGGAAAGAAATCAGAATATGCCTAACAACAAGCAGACAGAGAGACCAAATCATGAAAATGCACTCTTAAATTCTGTTCTGTTCCTTCCCACGATATTGTCTATGGTTTAAGAATTACTAGAAGTTCTCCAGGGCATAGACAAACCTTTAGATGCAACATGACACTGACTATCTGGGCAGCCTTACCAATACGAGATGGCACGGTGCGGGGTGGCACATGCTGCCATACACTGAATGGAGTCCAGAAGATTCCCTCCTATCAAAGCTGCCCACTGGAGCAAAGCAAGTGGGGTCTCCTCCCACTGGGGCAGCACCTGTCACTCTGCTCAACTCCATTGTACAGATGTGGAATCTGAGGAAAAGAAAAGTTGGAACTTGTTCAAGGTCAGTTAAGAAGGTGTAGAATCGGGATTCAAACTTAAGTCTATTTCCAATGCCCCTATGCTTGATTGCTTCCATGCATTAGTTACTAATGCTGTATAACAAAGTACCCCCAAAGTTGAACACTTAAAAGAGCAAACATGGAAAATATTTTACAGTATTTGAAGGCCAGAAATACAGGAGTGGCATAGCTAGGTTATAGCAGTCAAAAATATTGGCCAAGGGGAGAAACGGCCGCTAAGGTCAGTAATGAGATTGCTGGCAGGTCTTGGTTTCTCGCTGACTGTTGGCCTGAAGCTTCAGTTTCTCAGCACATTGGCCGAAGACTGCTCACAACATAGCAGCTTGCTTTCCCCAGAGCAAGAGATACAAGATGAGAGAGTGCACAAGGTAAGGCACAGGAGCGTCAGCCCTTTTTTCCCCTGTCTCTGCAGTCTTTAATTATTTTTTTAAAGATTTATTTATTTATTTGAAAGGCAGCGTTAGAGAGAGGGAGAGGCAGAGGCAGAGCAAGAGAGAGAGGTCTTCCATCCGCTGGATCACTCCCCAAACAGCAGTAATGGCTGGAGCGGGGCTGACCCAAAACTGGGAACCAGGAGCTTCTACAGGGTCTCCCACATGGTTGCAGTTGCCCAAGTTCTTGGGCCATCATCTGCTGCTTTCCCAGGCACATTAGCAGGGAGCTGGATCAGAAGTGGAGCAGCCGAGACTTGAACCAGCACCCATATGGAATGCTGGCACTGCAGGCAGCAGCTTTACACACTATGTGACAGCACCAGTCCTCCTGCAGTCTTTGACAGGCAGAGTGGACAGTGAGAGAGACAGAGAGAAAGGTCTTCCTTTGCCGTTGGTTCACCCTCCAATGGCTGCCGCGGCCGGCGTGCTGCGGCTGGCGCACCGCGCTGATCCGATGGCAGGAGCCAGGAGCCAGGTACTTATCCTGGTCTCCCATGGGGTGCAGGGCCCAAGCACTTGGGCCATCCTCCACTGCACTCCCTGGCCACAGCAGAGAGCTGGCCTGGAAGAGGGGCAACCGGGACAGAATCCGGCGCCCCGACCGGGACTAGAACCTGGCGTGCCGGCGCCGCAAGGCAGAGGATTAGCCTAGTGAGCCGTGGCGCCGGCCCCTGCAGTCTTTTATAACCAAATCTCAGAAGTGATATACCTGGGGCCGGCTCTGTGGCACAATAAGTTAATCTTCACCTGCAGCACTGGCATCCTGGAAGAGGCTTCTGGCTTCAGATCGGTGCAGCTCCGGCTGTTGCAACCATTTGGGGAAAGAACCAGCGGATGGAAGACCTCTCCCTCTGTCTCTCCCTCTCACTGTCTCTGACTCTACCTCTCAAATAAATAAATCTTAAAAAAAAAAAAAAAAAAGAAGTGATTCTCCCTCTCACTGGAACTCTACCTCTCAAATAAATAAAATCTTTATTAAAAAAAGTGATATACCATCACTTTATCACTTTGGTCATCTGCTATTAGACACACAGGTACAAGAGGGGAAGGGCCCTTAATAGGTAAAACTACAAGAAGGCAGGAATCATTGGGAGCCATTTGGAGCCTGTAAAACCCACTCCCCATGCTTCTAAAGACAAGAAGGCACAGTCCTGCAAATAACAAGGCAATATCATCACACACAAGTCACACAAATCAACTTTAGTATAACCATTTTTGGTTGTTGTCTATTTAACAAATATTTACTCATCACCCAAAACAATGCACCCTACCCTAAGGATATGGGCAGGGTTTAAACCTAGAGCTGACAGCAAGTTTGGGTGGAAAACAAGAATCAGGCGATGTGGGTTCTTGGAACAGATGGATAGGCCAGGAGAGAGCGCTGGAATCAGAACTCCATGACCACGTGGTTCTAAAGCCTTGTATTCCAGATAGGGGCTCATCCTTAAACAACCCAGGGTTTGTTTTCCTGGGCCTTGACAATGTCCCAACAGAAAAAGGGGGAGGAAAGGAGGAAGGGAAGAAGTAGAAGGCAGAAGAACAAGCATCCTCTGCAGCTTGCCAATGTCTGGAATTTCACAATTAAGTTGTCTTCCTTTAGCTTGAATTTATCAGAACCTGTTTTTTAAGCCAGGTTTTCCTAAGGAAGTTGGTGATGGGGTGGGGGTTGAGGGGGCAGAGGGGAGGAGAAGGGAGAAGAGCTAATCAAATACTAAAGGATAAAGGAACTGCCAGGACTGGGTAGAGGTGGGGGCAGAGCAAGCTGGTCGCTTCAGTGCGAGTACCAGGTCTTGACCATTTCAGTCCGTTTTGACAGATCAGAGTCCAGTGCGCCCACTCAACAGCACTCGTTACATACATTATAATTACCTCCTTGAATAAATCATTTAATTGATTTCCATGGCCCACGCCCCATCCCAGCGCTGCCGTGGCTGCGATGAGACCCTAGCCAGGGAATGGTTTTCACATGCCCCTCTTCCTCTCCTCCCTCCCTAACACTTCCTCACTTGCTCTTCAGATCCCTCTCCCGCCACTATGGGGAAGTCCGTGAAAACCCTAAGTGCTGCAGGTTCCCATCTGGATAAGGTTAATAATAATAATAATACCAGCTCCTACTTATGCCACAGACAGGAAGTTATACACGTGAAAGCAATTTTACAGTCTTTGACTAGGGCTGCCGGTGCTCTGAATTCCAAGATGCACAGCCTCCCTTTAATTCCAAGTGGCTGGGGACTTTCCCAGGCGGCGGCCAAGCCTGCAGCTGCATTCCCAAAATCAGCCAGCCCACTCAGAGAAACCCAGAATTTCTCTGACTTGTAAGTGGACAAATCAAGCCAATCCCCCACACCCCACCCGGAAAACCATCCTCTGCCTGCGTCTTCCAAGCCCCTCAGGCAGACCCCGGGTTTAGCTACCAAGCCTCGAGTCTCTCTTGGTCCCGCCCATGTCCACAGCGCCAGAAAGGAACGGCTCCCGCCACGCCGAGGGACTACAGCCCCCGGCATGCCCCGCGGAGGCGGCCAGAGCACGCGACCGGGCAGCGTGGTCACGTGACCCCGGAAGATGGCCGCGCTGACAGCCGAGCACTTCGCCGCGCTCCAGAGCCTGTTGAAGGTAACCTGGAGGGGTGGGGACTGTGTGAGGAGGCTGCCCGTTGTTTCTGGGATTTGAGACCGTGCTGGAATTGGGGACGAATTGGCCCAGGTTTGGAGCTACGGCTCTGCCAGTACTAATCTGTATGACCCCGGGCAAATTGTTGAGGCTCCCTGAGCTCTTTATAAACGGAACACCGTAGCGCCCTGACAGAAGTGGGAGGAGTGAGGGAATGGACGTGCGAGCACTGTGTAAATGCCCCCTACTATTAGTCTCAGGGGCTGGTTTTTGAAGTATGTGCCTTGGTGTGGTAACCGCGAGGACCGCGTTACCGGTTCCGCGTTTCTTTGGTCCCGCCGCCCCTCTGCGCTCAGCTGGTTCAGTCCGCTCTTCCGGTGCAGTGAGTGTGTGTTTCTCTGTTCCCCCGAAGCCCCGGCTTTCTGATCTTGCTTTGGCCAGAATACTCTCCTGACAACCATTTGAAAGACTGCCATGTCAAAAGGGCACATGAAGTGATGGGTTGGAATTATTTAACTTAAGATGTTCCCTACAGAAAAAGGCAGCTTTATTTTCCTTTGCAGAACTTGTCACTAGCTGACATGCGTCTGGCTGTAGTCACAAGAATGTACTCACAAGGATGTAAGACCCAGGAGAGGGGCCGGCGCTGTGGCACAGCAGGTTAAAGCCCCAGCCTGCAGCGCCGGCATCCCGTATGGTTCTAGTCCTGGCTGCTCCTCTTCTGATCCAGCTCTCTGCTATGGCCTGGGAAAGCAGTGGAAGATGGCCCATGTCGTTGGGCCCCTGCACCCGCGTGGGAGACCTGGAAGAAGCTTCTGGCTCCTGGCTTTGGATCAGCTCAGCTCTGGTCGTTGTGGTCATTTGGGGAGTGAACCAGCAGGACTTGAACTGGCACCCATATGAGATGCTGGTGTTGCAGGCAGCGGCTTTACCAGCTACGCCACAGCGCCAGCCCAGTTTTTTTTCTTTAATGGACTTTAAAAAAATTAATGTGTGGCACAGATACAGAAAATGCAGAAATCAAAAATGTGCAGCTTAATGATTTATTATGTACCTATAAAAGCACCACCAAGATAAAAAGTTGGAACATGGGGTTGTTAACTGCAGTTAAGGCACTGATGTGGATGCCCACCTCTCATTGGATTGCCTGGGTTCAAGGCCTGGTTTCACTACCGGTTCCAGTCACCTGCTAATGCATACAGTGGGAGGCAGCAAGTGATGACTCAAGTACTTGTGTCCTTGCCATCCATATGGGGGACCCAGATTAAGTTCCAGGTTCCTGGCTTTGGCCTGATTTAGTCCCAACTGTTATAACTGTTTGGGGAGTAACCAGTGAATAAAAGATGTTCCTGTCCCCATCTCTGCCTTTCAATCAATCAATCAATAATCAGTCAAATGTATGTATGTATATTACCAATACCCCATAATTTCCCCTATTCCCCTTCTATTACTTACCCTTATATGTTTGCTTCTAACGAAATCAGTTTAATGTTGCCTATGTTTGAACTTCACATAAATGGAATACTATAGCTTATAATTTTGGATGTGTGTCTGGGTTCTTTTGCTCACAATAATTCATTCATTCATTTTCATTGCTACAAGTATTGTTCTATGTTTTTCTTTTTAAAAAATGGCTTGAACTTGTTTGAAATAGAGATTCACATGCAGTTACAGGAATGCAGAGCAATCCTATTGACCATATTCTCTATTGGTAACGTCCAGGAAAATTTAATACAATGTCCTAGTGAGGGTATTAACATTGATACAGTCAAAATTTCCATCACCATAAGATCTCATACCACCCTATTTTAGCTAAACCCACTTTCACTGTGCCTCCACACTTTTCTTAGCCCATGACAGTCTTCATTTCTGTAATTTTGTCATTTCAAGAATATTATAGAAATGGTCTGTTTCTGCCTCTCTGTCTCTGTCTACCCCTCTGTCTTTCTCTCTGTCACTCTGACTTTCAAATAAAAAATAAATCTTTGTTTAAGGGAAAATGGGGGCTGGCATTGTGGCACAGTGGACTATGACCTGGCATCCTATATCTGAGTGCTGTTTCAAGTCCTTACTGCTTCATTTCCAGTCCAACTCCCTGCTAATGTGCCTGGTAAGGCAGTGGAAGGTGATCCAAGTAATTGGGCCCCTGCCACCTACCTGAGAGATCTGGATGGAGTTCCAGGCTCCTGGATTCTGCCTGGCCCAGCGCTTGCTATTGAAACCAGTTTGGGAAGTGAACTCTCTCTGTCTCTGTCTCTGCCTCTCTCTCTCTCTCTCTCTCTCTCTCTCTCTATTATGCTGCCTTTCAAATAAGTAAAATAATTTTTATTTTAAAAAAGGATATGGAATCATAAAGTATATATCCTTTGGATATTGACTTTTTTCACTCAGCCTAATTTTCTGGAGATTCATCCACATTGTGTGTTTCAGTGGTTCTGTTTTCCAGAATATCTGTACCACTTTACATTTCCAGTAGCTGTGTATGAGTGGCTCATGTCTCCGCATCCTCACCAGTATTTGGTGTTATCACTAACATTTTTATTTTATTTGTTTTAAAGATTTATTTATTTGAAAGGCAGAGTTACAGAGAGGCAGAGAGACAGAAAGAGTGAGGTCTTCCATCTGCTGGTTCACTCCCCAACTCACCGGCTAGAGCTGGGCCAGGATCTGAAGACAGGAGCCAGGCACATCTTCCTAGTCTCCCACATGTGTAGGGGCCCAAGTACTTGGACCATCTTCTCCTGCTTTCCCAGGCACATTAGTAGGGAACTGGCTTGGACATGGAGCAGCCCAGACTTGAACCGGTGCCCATATCAGTTGCCAGCACTGCAGGCGGCAGCTTTACCCACTATGCCACAGCGTCGAGTTAATTTTGTTTAAAGTGTGTGAGACACAGGTTGATTTGTTTCTTGCCTATGAACAGCCAATTGTTCCAGTACCACTTGTTGAAAAGGTTATCTTTCTTTCCTCTGCTGAATTCTATGTCTACCTTTTCAAGATCAACTGGGCATATTTGTGTGAGTCTTTTTCACAGTTTTTCATTCTGTTGCATTGATCTGTGGGTATCTCCCTCTGACAGTACCATTCATTCTTGATTATTGGAGCTGCTTAGTAAATCATGAAATCAGACTGATTCCTCCTACCTCACTCTTCTTTATCAAAATTGTTTTAGCTATTCTAGTACCTTTGCCTTTCCATGTAAATTTCAGAGTGATATGGATATATATATATATTATTTTATATTTTTATTTATTTTTAAAAGAAAGTCTTTTTTTAAAAGATTTTATTTATTTGAGAGGTAGAGTTACAGACAGAGAGACAGAGAGAAAGGTCTTCTGTCTACTTGTTCATTCCCCAGATGGCCACAATAGCCGGAGCTGAGCTAATCCAAAGCCAGGAGCCAGGAGCTGCTTCTGGTTCTCTCACACAGGTGCAGGGGCCCAAGGACTTGGGCCATCTTCTACTGCTTTCCCAGGCCATAGCAGAGAGCTGGATCAGAAGAGGAGCAGCCAGGATTTGAACTGGCACCCATATGGGATTCTGACGCTGCAGGTGGAGGCTTAGCACACTATGCCACGGAACCAGCCCTATATATCTTTCTTAAAACTTGCTGAAGTTTTAATGGAATTGTAATAAACCTACATATATATCAACTGGGGAGAACAGATGTCTTTAGAAAGTTGAATCTTCTAGTCCATGAACATGATATGTCTTCACACTTATTTAGACCTTTGATTTCTTTCCTCTGTAGTGTGTTTATTTTATTAACAATTACAAATTATATTTTTAATTCCAGTGTCTACCTGTTTATTGTTAGTACAGATGGTTCCTGACTATTAAACAATGGTTTAAGATTTTTTGACTTTTTGTTGGTACAAAATGTTTGGTAGAAAGTGTTTTTTGAATTTTGAGTTTTTGTCTTTTCCTGGATTACCGTGTGCAGTATGATGCTTTTCATGGTGCTGGGCAGTTCAGCAGGCTACAACTCCCTGTCAGCCATGTGATCTGGAGGGTAAACAATTCTACCATACACTGTGTTGCTAAGCTATGGTGTAAGGCAAATTAGGTCTATTAAATGCATTTTCAACCCATGAGTTTTTCAATGTATGATGCATTTATCAGGATGTAACCCTATTATAAATTGAGGAGCATCTGTATATAGAAATTTAATGGCTATTTGTATTTTTAATAAGATTTATGTATTTATTTATTTGTAAGAGAGAAAAAAGAGAGACAAGTGAGACACCTTCCATCCACTGGTTCACTCTCCAAATGGCCGCAACAACCAGGGCTGGGCTAGGATGAATCCAGGAACTAGAAACTCAGTATAGGCCTTGCATGGACAAAGTACTTGAGCCATTACCACTGCCTCCTAGGGTGTGCATTAGCAGGAAGCTGGAATTGCTAGCAGAAATGGAATTGGGAGTTGAACCTAAGCAGTTGGATTTGGGATGCAGGTGTCTCGAGTAGTACCAAGCACCTATTCTAATTTTTGTGTTTATCTTCTCTGTTCACTATTGCAGAACTCACAGGGAATTTTTTGGTACATTCCTTGAGAATTTCTGCATAAACAATCATGTTATAATGGAAAACCAAATAGTTTTGTTTCTTTTTATCTGAACTATATACCTTTTATTTCATTTTCTTGCCTTATATCACTGGCTAAAACTTTCCAAACTATGTTGAATAAGAGTAGTGAGAAAAGACGTCCTTGCCTTATTCCCAATTTTAAGGCAAAGCATTCAGTTTTTCACCATGAAGTATAATGTTAATCATAGATTTTTCCAGAGGTATCTTTTATCGATTTAAGGAAGTTCTCCAGTATTCCTGTTTTTCTGAGAGTTTTTGTCAAGAGTGAATGTTCAATTTTAGCTAGTGGTTTTTCTGTGTTAACTAATAGCAT